TCTCAAACAAGTGAAAATGTGTGAAATGCAGACTTTCGTGTTCTCGATTTGACATCACATTACCCGCTAGAACCATTCCTCTTTAAACTCGGTCGTGAGCCAAGATGGAGGCCGATTTTCCGCATTTTGACTGGGCACAGAAAATTGAAGATTTGAGCAAATAAAAGAATTTTTGCACAGAAATACTCCAAAAAATACGCTTATTTCGTTAAGCGAAAAAAAATTTTGGGTTTAGCTGCACTTTAAGGTACATCCTGATCAATGAGAAGTCAACGGGTCAAAGCCCTACCCAGACCCGATTCCCCATTACTCTACAAGGTAGTTTGTCCAAACACTTAACAGATAACATGCCTTTAACGCATTTTCCACTTTGGAGATCAGTGAAGTGAAAAGATGAGATTCTACTTTATCAAGGTCTTGAGCCCATACGGCAAATGACGGTAGAAACACTTCTCTGGAAGTCTTCGCTACTTTTTCTGACGGATCAAACAATGTTTCCTCTAACAACTCGTACGCCTGAAAACAAAAATTAACGTATCAGTCCCCCTTTAAAGAAAGACGTTACATAATGGTGACAAGCTGAGGACGAAGAAATACTGCGGTTCAAATATATGACTTTCATATATTCACAAACGTTGACTCATCACTTCACGGGTTTATTGCGAATCAACATAATGACCAGCTCCCGGTTGGCTTGTTAGCTCAGTTGGCAGAGCACTACACCGGTATCGCAGAGGTCATGAGTTCGAATCCCGTACAGGCCTGAATTTTCTTCAGGCCTCATTTTCCCTACTGCTTAAGTAGTGTTCGTTACTGCGAAGATCGTTCTCATACTTGATCCTTCTATGTTGTCTCCGAGTTCATTTGTTGCCATACGTTTTTATTTTATTTTCTTTTATTTTATTATTTTATTTTTCTGTTTTTGTCTTTTGATTAATGCTTCGTTCCTATTGGTTTTCGCCGGAAAAAATGTTCTTTACTCGTGTCTTTACCTGTTGATATTTATCCACATTTTCTATAAATGCCACGACTAGTCCCAGACTCTTTGTCACCGCCTCTCGAACAATCTCGTTTCGGTCATCGCTTAGCATTTGTTTCAACATGGACCACACCAGAGAACTACGAATGTAGTCCTGCACGAAAAAAAACAAACAAACAAACAAACACGAAAAAAAGAAAGAGAGAAAGAAACAGGCAAAATGAATGGTCACTCGCATCAAATTGACTTCTAAACCTTGTTCACGCCAAATTCCATCGAGCCTTTGATATAAAAATACCCGCTTTTCACTTGGACCTTCCTTTGAATTCTTATCTCTGCGAGTGTAATAATGATAAAGATAACCATTTTGCATTTAAAACGGAAGTTTTAGGTGAAATTGGCTTATCTAACGTTAATATGCGAGGGAACCATTGTGTTCTTTCGATAAGACCCAACAAACCTATCCTAAATAGTTCATATAACGAAAAAAAAAAAGGTAAACAAAATTCTTATATGAGCAAATTCGAAATCTCCCTTGGAAGTTTCCAAATATTAAATGAAAGCTGTTGAGGGAAACGAACTTAGTAAAGCCCAAGTGCAACAAAGACTTGCATTTCCTAACGGGTTCAGTAGGTTATTTACCGGTAAATACGGCGCTAATCCACCACAGGCTTCGGCAACAAGGAGTCTTCTTTCAACGTACTTGTGGCCAATCTGCAATGTAAATAGAAAATGTAAAAAGGTTATTCATATTCTTTACACCGTTACGAACACAAAACTAATGGTCTGTGTCTATAAATAGTGCAAACGCACTGTACCTGTTCCCACCATTGTGGTAAGAGTTCAGCCTCTATCCGAGTTGGTCCCACGACCTGCGCAAACGCAGCACACCCGCTCATAATCATCTGCCTGATGGGGTAAATAAATAAACTTATAACAAAGCTGTGATGAAGTAAATCAAAAGGGGAAAAAAAAGATAGCAGCCAAAGATCTTGATTTTTCTCTCTAATCCTTACGTTTCCAGAAAGTAAAAAGCAGCGTAGAAAAAGTCTCAAGTGGAGAAACGTTCTGCTGAGTAAGGCTACAACTCCCGGCTTTGCCGGGAAGATGTGCACATGCAGTGTGTTACTTCCTTGTTTTACAACGAATGTCACTTCCTTTTTTACAAAGAATACGCCTTTTTAAAAGAAATAGAACCCACACTTGAGTTGTCATTTCTGAAAAACACAACTTTGGCTGGTATCCATTTAAAACCCTATAACTCTCAAAATCTGATCGTTAATTCTCTAGCTGGTACACATTTTCTTGTGAATAAGTAACAAGAATTTGGTGTTGGATCAAGATAACAAATTCTACCAAATAAGTTTGGGTATTCTCATTACCTGTTTGCTGGATAATGCGTGGATATTTTAGGGAGAAGTTACGTGTTAATCACCTCTGGGAGTTAAAGGACGCATATTTACCAACCTTTGGTCCTCATCTGGTCGTTTAATTAAATTAAATAACATGTGAAGAAGATTGTCTCTTTCTTTAACGGCTGGATGGTGAATGGCTGAACAAAGAATTACGGGAATCAGTTCCTACAATAAAACGAAGAAAAAAACATTTGGCGTTCTATAAGATGAAAGACAAATAGTTCATGGTTTTGCACCAGAAAAATATATAGATCGTAATCTGATTTATTGCAATCAGTAAAGATCTTGCGTATCCTTGACCATAATCATTCCATCTCAGTTTGACGACAGACTAATAGAAATTAAGTTTTGACTAGTGGTTTTCGATTTCCACCAGCCAGTTTGGCTAGTAAATAAACTGAAATTATCGTAACATTTCAGTTGTCACTTGCCACTTGAGTAGTAAGTTGAAAAGTGAGTGTAGTGCCCTGATATCAGTGAAAAAGCTAAGCATAGGCACACTTGGACAACGAACCTTCTCTTGGCACTCACCTCTCTTTTGTTCAGCAGCACATTAGGCATAATATGCGGCAAACATCTCGCGACAATCAAAACCACATTTTCGTCAGCGTTTGAAAGCTTACAAACCTACATATCATAAAGATACAGTCAATAACACTCAGTCCCATCCAAGTATCCTTGGTCCCAGCCCTCTCATCTGCCCGTCCCACGTTGCCCCATGAAGCAAAAAGGATGGGAACCCTGGAAACGAAGATGCCTATTCAAAAAGTTATGTTCGGTTGAATCTTTCAAAACTCGTGGCTTTTTCACCGCCGGAGATGTTATCGTTTTCTGTGGCATGAAGCCACGAGAATGATAACTACTGACACTCCCCTTTGATTGGATTCTAGTCCAACGCAGATATCTCTTCTCCCCCCCCCACCCCCACCGTCATTTCGTCCCAGCACCTCGATGTGCCACAAGATAGCGCAAGGTATTATTGAAAGAGTGAAGTGCCTTGCCTATCAACAGAACTCACTGCACCACTCAAGTCTCAAAGGCGGACCGTCCAACGCGGATTCAGCTTGCTAACCACCACTTCAATACTTCTCTTTTAACAAATGACATCAAGACACCTTTTCTTTCTTTCAAGCCCGAAATAATAAAAAAATTAACAGGTTTGCACTTCACCTACCTCATTAGAGAGTCTGTTCTCTAGCTGCACATGCGTAAAAGCCAACAGAGTGTCTCTAAATAACGATGAAGTTGTTCTGAAGGGGAAAGAAAATCTAAGTAACGTGGCAGAAAAACGAGCTGACTACGCACCTACGAAAGTTTTAAGATGTGTTCATGGTTACGCTTAGGTTCATTATAATTAATTTCAAAGCATAAACCCCGTTGCAAAATGCATAATCGGTTTATTTTCGTGAGTTGTTTGAGTAAGTTTGCAGAGTTCTGGTGAACTGCATGATGTAATCGATTTATTTTCGTGAGCCGTTTGAGTAATTTTGCAGATTTCTAGCAAACTGCGTGATGTAATCGTTCGCAAGAAGAATGATTTCTTATCACAAACTATACAAACTTACATGAATCGCCTGGTCTTGCCACTTTCTTAGATTCATAATATAATCTGAACAGTAGATTCCGTGGATGCCACTTGTTTGGGCCCTCCTTGAAAATAATGGCTGCCGTGCCGCCAGAGGAGTGGGGAGAAAAAAAATCATAGAAACCCCCAGCGGTCTCTGCACTCCAAGGTCTGCTGCTCGTTTCCCAAAGCCGCCCTTATCTTCATCGAGCGCCAAAAAAGCTTTTAACCGCGCAGGTCATCTGAATAGCTTGGCAAGTTTGGACACACCAGACATGCAGCATCAAGCAGGATCTAAAGACCCGATAAGTGCCTTGGAACTCTCACTCCCTTCCGAATAGGCGCAGAATTTCTCTTTACGCCACAAAGTTACAGCGACTTAAAATGAAGTTCCTCTAAAATGATAACCAGAATAACCTGTCGACTATACTGTTCACAATAAGAAATTTTACCCACTGTACCTTGATGAAGTTTGATCTTTCTCCTCTATGCTGCCTGGTTGTGATGATGGCGACAAAGGTCTGACTTGAGAGACATCACCCTTATCGTAAGCGAAAAAAGCATGAACAAGTTTAAAAATGAAGCGTCGATTGAGTTCTACTAAGGGCAGTTTACAGTTCAAGAAACATAGAGTACATTTTTTGAAATTCAATTTTCCGTCTCTTTTTAAAAAATAATTTAAGAGACGATAGGGTGAGTTTTCTTGCCCGTTCACAGAGTGAAGTAGAGCAATCCTGAATTGCTTTCAACCCTATTGAAAACCGCTCTAAAACGACAAAATTGAGCAATCATGTTGTACACTGCACTGATAAACAACGTTGTACTTTTGTCTGCCTCAGTTGCAGTGAACTAAAATTATTGTGACAAGGCCGAACAACAGATTGCAAAGAACCTGCCGTATGTAATTGGTTAAGTTATACCACTTTACCTTTTGTTGCGTCAGTTCCACATCCGCAGTATTTCCTTGATGACTATCACTTTCAGGAAAATTTTCTTCAGGATCTTTATCACCCAATTCTTCACTTACGTCAAGTTTCTCCGCATTGTCTGCATTTTCATCTTCATTTAGTACCTTGCCACTTTCGTTAATCTCCACAGGATAATTGTTACCATCTGTAGCATCCTCATTCTCTGTTGTTGAATCACTGATGGGTCCAGCTGTGACACCATCTGTATCTGTCTCTGATAAATCAGTACTTTTTCCTGGGCTCAGCAAGGTCCTTTCAGTCGGATACGAGGAGTTAACAATCTCTTTTATTTCACTATCAATAAGAAATCAATTAAACACTGTAATTTAGTCTCTTTTTCGTACTTAGCTGCTTAGCTCTCCTAGCCCCTTTGGTTCTTCCTGAAAGCCAACACTCTGATCTTATTTTTCAAGTTTTCTTAGTACCTGTAGGTTAGGGAAATTGTCATTATTTTTTTTATTCAAGTTGTTTTTAACACAGTTCCATTTACAAACATTATTGACCATGAAAGGGTAAAAGCTGTCTTAATTGACTTTGGATTTGTAGAAAGGTACCCAAAGAAAAACAATGAAATAGACAAAAAAAAGTTGAGCAATAAAATAGATATAACTCTAAAAGTAGTCAAAATTCCAGCTCTGTGCAACAGTAGAAGAAGAGAATATTGCTAAAATTTCACATGTTAGGAGTCACAACTAATTGGCCACCTATGAAAGACCCTGTAAAGAGTTCTGAAGCTGATGAAGAGCTAACACTTGAAATTCCAGCTTTAGGAACTCTTTACACTGCCCAATTTACAGTAACAACTTGGTTAATAATAACCTCCACCAAGATAACATCAGAGTTTCTGTGGAAATTTACCCCCTTTCAGGCCTCAACACTAACTTTTTGACTTACTAGCCAAGTGGCTAGTGACATCTTAGATGTTGCGACAATTTCAGTTTGTTTACTGTCCAAACTGGCTAATGGAAAGCAAAAACCACTAGCCAAAACTGAATTTCTACTGGTCTGTGGCTAGTTGGCTACCACTAGTGTCAAACCCTGCCCTTTACCCATAGAAGCCGGCACTGCAGAGACAACAACTGGTAACAAACTGCAGAGATACCGCTGACCAGTACACTGAAGTTGAGTATTCACTGGTCGGACATGTTGTTCAGTTTTATTTATGAATGCTAGCCATTACAGCCTTTAGCAATCTATATCCAACTTGTTGCCTCATTCATCACTATATTACGTAAGTTGATTTTCGTTTCTATGTATTAGCCCATTAGTTTCTCTATCTTACTGTATTATTGTCGTACATTTGTGTGTTAGGACTCATTCATCGTTGAGATTAATAAACTGATCATCATCGAGAAGGCTCATTTGCTTCACAAACTAAATTCAAAAGAAAAAATAGCTGCAACTAGGGAACCTTTTCTCCCTGTTTGGCTAACTGTCACACTTTACCTTTCCAATTTTTCTATTGTTTCATTCAATGTATGGTTCTCATATTTGAGTTCTCCTATTCCCTCCTGAAGCTGTTTGCACTCTTCTTGTAACTTTGTATATTCTGCCTCCAAGTTTGCTTTCTCTTCCTTCACTGATTTCAACACCAGCATCACTTCAGGTATAGTGTGATGTCCATAGTCTCGGTACAGATGCAGCAGGTCTGGAGGCTTGGCAGTGTTTAAACCCACATCATCCCAGTCATCAAAGTCCTGAGGAAAAACAACAATACCAGAAGACAAAACATACAGTATTTATTGCTTTCTGATCCTGAAGGATGAAAGATTAAATTTTCTTTCATTGGCAAAGGCAGAAAATAAAATTTAAAAGACAAAATTTGAATTTTGGTTTCTCAAGAGATATCTACTGGTAAAAATCATAATTGTATTTATTTAACCCAACTCCCAGATGTGATTAACATGTAACTTCTCCTTATAAAATACTTACATTATCCAGAAAAAAAAGCAATAAGAATACTCAGACTTATCAGGTATAGATTGTTATCTTGATCCAACACCAAATTCTCATAACTAACTTACAAGGAAATATGTAGCAGCTAGAGGGGAGAATCCACAATCAGATCTTGCAAATTCTTTGACAATATTTACTCAACCTAAGTTAAAAACACCCAGGGTATGATGTTTTCTGAATAGTACCTTTAACAATTTCAGAAGGAGCCAATGCCCAATCTCTTAAAAGCTTCTCCAGAGACACTAAGAAACTACACACATGGCATTTTGAAAATTTGGAGCATAACTCCATGTGATTCAAAATTCATCACTGACAAATAATAATTGAAAATTGTACCTCAATTAATTCTAAATACCTGATCTGCATTCTCATCTGAAAAAGTTACAGACGTCATTCTGTAGCCATTCTTTAGTAAGTATTCATTTACCAAGAAATTTAGGGCTCACTTCTCATGAGGTCTTAACAGGTCCTGATAAATTAACAAAAAAAAAATACATACTCCTTTAATGAGATGGTTCTTGGTCTAAAAATTGTTCACTTTCAATCAAAAGAATGCTATTTCATATGAAATTTAATCTCTGAATCAGTGTTTGTGTACATCAGTAATAATGGCCTCCTAGCTGACGTGTAGAGGATCAGAGCATGATACATGTATCTTAAGGTCGGAGGTTTGTTTGCTTGGGAGACACTCAAGTTTTCTCAAAATTTCTTTGTCCAATACTTCTGACAAAATCATTAACATCTTCTTTCATTTGTAAACATTTTCCTTAAAATTATTATTCAATTTGCTTTTCAAGGCTAATCCACCTATGCAAGTTTTATTTTTTTGGCAATCTTTATTTTAATTTTTTTTTTTGCAAGTTTAATTTTAACCTCAAACAAGAGTCCAAAACTGCATTTATGTGTTATCAAAATCGAAAAATGTTTTTCCTGTTTGTTCATAATTACAATCATTATGACCATCACTGAACAGGAAAAGTTCTAAAACAAGAGCTTGACGAGTATTTCACTTATAAAAAATTTTTTCCTTCCTTCAGTTTCAGCCTGATTAGTTAAAATCAAAGCTGAAATCGAAGATAAACCCTTTTAAATATCAGCCACTGACACATGTCAGATTTTCTGAAACACTTGCGAAAACTTCCTTACCCCTCCAGTGGAATGATCTCTCTCAGTATTTTCACTATGACTACCTTCGGAAGCAGGAGTTTCAGTTTCTGAAATAAGAGGATAGACTCACAAGTTATCTCTGACTAAAGGTGAATCAATACACAACTAGCATTAAAGTAAAAAATGTTTTTGTATTCAGAGAGTACATTCTGAAAATTTAAATGGGATTTAAAATTCAATTGTAGTTTAAAATCTGTGGCTAACATCCATTGGAGTAAACAGTGCAGAAAGTAAAACTGCTTAATGTACCATGGTAGTTACAGATTACTTGGCATAGCAAGTAAGCATATGATAGCTTCAAGCTCCTATCACTTATATACTGAGCTCCCCAGGGTTTCTCACCTCCCCCCTTCTTTCCAGAGGGGAATTTGCCTCATTAAATGAGACTTAGACATTTAGTTCACGTATCAAGCTGAGATAATATATAACTCTTAGCAAAAATTACCAGTTGCCTCTGTCAAAGATCCCCTCAGTGCTTTAATAGTCTCGTGAGCTTTCCTCAGTTCAAATTCTAAGACTTAGAATATAAAATAAGAATATATTACACATTTTGTTTAAAGATAGAAATAGCAAGTAACTGAATTCCAGGCATTTTCCAGGCAGCAAAGAATCCAGGTAGACTCTCCCTCTGCTGTTCAATTTTGGATCAAGCTCTTCAAAACTTAGGGCAAAAGAGAACAAACCCTTTAAGAGCTAAGGGTTTTTTTTTGCTTTTTTGGAAGTTGGAAGTTGGAAAACTAGAACCAGTGATTAACTGAAAAGTACATCAGAAAACTTTGCCATTGTAAATTTAATTACATTCTGATCCACAAACCTGCAACCTTTTCATCTGTGTCTCGTACACCATCATCTGAGTAACGAGCATAGTCATCCAACGAATCAATGGTTGCAATACTAGATGTGCGGGCTGGAAAAAAAAAATCATTATCATAGTATGGTGTCATGCATTTTAATCCTAGCGATTGACAATAATAATAAAGAATAACAAAAATAAACTTATTAATGAAAATACCTCACGCTAGACCCTACAGACCAAGGCTGTTCTTAGTGGAACCCTCAAAATAAAGTCGATGTTCAGTTATTTGAAAGCAGATAAAAATAGTTAAAGTGATAATTGAGAAAAGGAAACCTTTGTGTGTACATTTTTGTGTCTTCCGAGAAGAAATCATTTTACTTTTCATTAAGCTGTTCGTTAAAATACAATATCACCAATGCAAACACCACAGAAGATGACGAATATTGCAAAAGCGGTCATTAGGCTTAATTTCCGGTTAAAAATATACGGCTGAAGAATATTTATAAGTTTTAATTGCGACAAATCACCCTATCTTATCAGAGTATTTGCAAACACAACAAACAAAAATAGCATTTAGGTTATTCTAATTTTAATTTATTTTTTTTACTTTTATGAAAAGAGGTGAACAAAATACTAACGTATAACTGGCGAGTGTGCGCTACTGCTTAATGTTGTCGTCTGGTATTGACGTTCGAAATTCCCAGGATTAGAGAAGAAATCACGTAAACGAGGAATCTCTAAGCCTGCTTCAACTAATTCCGTGTGCAGCTCAAGTGCAGTCAACAGTAACTGATGCGTAAGGAGTTTTTCGGCGAATATGTCAAAATCGCTCGCGGATAAACGAGGCGGAGTTACTTCAGTTTCCTCCTCTGCATCCGCCATCTTGCCGATAAGTCTTCTGTAAGCGCGGTTACTAAGGGGAATTCTGAGCCTGCAGCTTGAGCTAGAAATCTGTTTCTCACTGGATAATTATGCGCGACGCAACGTAAACAAAAACAATTTTATTTTCTGGGGCCAATGACGTGATAGGAATTTGCAAAAGATTTTACATGAAACGCCTCATATTCTTCTGTCATAGAAGTAGAAAAGTGTTCTTGAAGTTTGAGACGCATAATCATGTTGGATTTGGAAGTCGTTCCTGAAAGATCCTTGGGAAACGAGCAATGGGAATTTATACTTGGTAATTATAATGTATACAATGCAATTTGTACATTATAAGAATTTTCCCGCCTATCCTGAAATTCATTGCCTTCTCGCTTATTTATCTTAGATTCGAATTTAAATTTCACCATCTGATGTTTTTGAATTCATTCTGATCATTATAAGGAATGCCTGTCGCACAATGTGTGCAAATCCTGAAGCGCCAATGTCGCGTGATCAAATCGGTACAAGCGATGTACAGCGAGGCGGTGAGTCTCTGGCTTCTGTTTGTGTAATACATGAACTCTCTTTTCTTAAATTTACTTGCTTCTAATGAATCAGTAATTATTTTGGAACGTACATGTGCGACAATTTTTTATCTTGGCTGGACAAAACATCAACCTTTTTGCTATGTGACACTTATTTTGATTGTCATTAATACGTACATGTCTCGATAAGAAAACATTTAATCACTTTTCATATTTTAGTCTTCCTTGTTTTGTAATAGAACCCTCTGGCAATGGATCTGGTCTTAAACTTTCCCAATGATGGAATTAGACTGGTCTTTGATCCTGTTACACAGAGACTTAAGGTACAAACTAAGCACATACATATATTCTGACAAAATAATAATTGCATTCAGTTGATGATTCCCCAACTGAAAAGAGAATTTCTGAATAATTTTATATTTTATTTATTTATTTATAGATAATTGAAGTTTACAGTATGAACAAGGTCAAGTTGAAATACTGGTAAGATTTTGGTTCATTGTTTTTTTGTTTTTTGTTTTTTTTGTTTCTGGTTGTTGTTGATGTTGTTGTTTCTAACCTCAGCAGCTAATTGTGTATTTCTTTCCATGTTTTATCAAATTGCACATTATATCAAGTCAGGATATAAAGGATAATAGTTTTAACAGGTGATTTTCTGTCATTTCAGTGGAGTACACTTCAATTCTCCTCAAGTCCAACCAACAATTGAACAAATTGACATGTCATTCGGAGCAACACACCCAGGAGGTTGGATTATTTTTTCCTCTTTTTTCTTTCACATTTTAAAAGGACTCCAAAGGAAGTAAAGAATCAGCTTACAAGTTGCATGGTCTAACAGACTAATTATTTAAAGGCATCAAATGCAGCATATGAGCTGTCATTGTTATCTGCTTTATTACAAACCACTTTTTTTTGTTGATGCTGAGATCTCTTTACAAGTTCATTTTGTTAATCTTTTGATCCTAACAAGTGCCTTGCATCTAATTCCTCCTCACAATATCACCCTTGAATCACACATTAAAGTCACAAGGATAAAGCAAATGATCACCAACGAAAGAAACTCTTGATTGTTAAACAAATTCTCCTTGTTAGTGCCTGAGGAATTGTACAGAGAACAGTATTGAGAATATGCAAACTGTTGTCAGGGTGTAAAGGGTTGAAAAGAAATTGTCTTTTTCAGTTTATGATCCCACCCATCAGCTCTTTATTCTGAACTTCAGAGGTCTCTCCTTCTCTTTCCCAATTGACTCAAAATTTGAGGTAAGTTTTTCAGCCTGTGCTCAGTACAACTTGTAAAAGATTGATTCTGTGTCATTTATTTATGCGTTAGCCTTTCTTTAGTTTGTGAATGTTCTAGTATAAAACAGAATTTTGATTCTGACCATGTCTATAGGATCAAAATTTATCCCCTAACCCCTTATAGGGGTTTCATTAAGGGCCGGGTAGCGGGCAAATTGACTGGTTGTGAAGACGGTTTTCGCTCACTTGGTTTAATGATCTGGAGGAAAGTTTATCTTACAAAGAAGTTCAATTCAAAAAGTTTTGCTTCCCTGTGAAAACCAGTTGCCCTCCTACTGAAAATGTAAATGAAACCCCTGCCCTTAACTTCCTGAAGTGATTAACTTCCCTCCTATAATATCCATACATTATCCAGGAAACAAGTAATGAGATCGCTGAAACTTATCAGCTAGGAGTTACTATCTTGTTCTAACACCACATTCTCATAGCTAATGTACAAGGAAATGTGTAGCAGCTAGAGGGGAGAATTAACAATCAGATCCTGGAGAGTAAAAGGATTAAGTTGGTATTTTGGCCTATTTTCTTTAAAACAACGACTGTCTGTTGGTAAAGACGAACTGAGTTCAACTACTGTGGCAACACATTTTTTTGTCTGTCAACAGCCATACTACACTCATGGATTGGGTTCTCTCAAATTCTCATCTGGATCCTCACCAGTTGTGTCACACATGTCAATTTACCATGGCAACAACTTGACAGATGCCAAGTAAGGGATTAAACAATACGTATATTTAAATTGCTGTTCCTTTTTTTGGGGGAGAAAATCTTAAGAGTTTGCAGGATTCAAATTTGTAACTCAGTGTTTTATTCTTGACTATAATCATTATTTTGTAGGGCACCTCCTCTTCCTCTCCAGTGTTTTCATGGCAACTGTTTTGCAGAGAGTGTTGAGATCATAAACCAGGATGGTAATGTCCTGGGTCTGAAATGCTTCCTTGTGGCAGAAGGTAAGGCTCAAGACAACACCATTTGTACAAGATCAGGAGGACTCAGCTAGTCCTCACTGTCTACTTCCTACAGGGTATTAAGCTTTTATAAGAACCCACCCCCCCCCTCACCACTACTACCATTACTACTAAACCCCCATTAAAAACAACTAAATAACAACATTTATAACAGATCACAGTATATATTAAAATTGTCATTTTTGGAAGGAAATTGTAACATAAAGTCTGGCAGGGTGGATAAACAAAATAGGGAAAAGAATGGTTAAGGAATGGAGAAAATTAACTTCTATTCTGTGTGCCAGTCCTGAAAGATTAAGAAAAGGTCTTCTATTTCAAGGGCTGGTGGGGGGGAAGGTGTGATCTACAGAATTTAACATGCGTGTTATTATTGGTAACAACCACTTGTCAACTGTTTCATCCGTTGAAGGTCCTGGTCCTGGTAAGATTTTAGAGCTACGACGAAGAACATTTGAGAGGAATGTGATGTTTGGAGACTCATGTCAGGTGAGAATTTGGGCTGTTAAAACAGGGCCTTTAATTGGTTGTCTAACATCATAGATAATTTATATTCCGCTGAATTTAAACTGAAGGAAGGCTTCTAATTGAGACCATGACTGTTTTGTTTTTATAGGATGTTTTAAGCTCTCTGGGATCTCCATGTAAAGTCTTTTACAAAGCTGAAGATAAGGTCAGTTGATTTGAGAAAATTGAACACAATTCTATTTCGTTAAGTGAAGGTTGCATAGCCATTCCCCCTTCCCCTGCCTTTTTAGAAACTGGGTCCTGTTCTTGTAGCTGAGTAAACAGTCACCTTTTCAAATGTTGTTTTCTGAAAGAAAGCTTTTCTGTAGTTGCCATCTTTCATTTTCCTTTTTCAGATGCGGATCCATTCTCCTTCTCCTCACAAGCTTGCCCAGTCTAAGAGTTCAGATTACTTTTTCAACTACTTCACTCTTGGAATTGTAAGTATCACAACATTGATGACATTTTGAAGGAGCTTCCAGTAACGATCATTTGCTGTTCATTTCTCTGCTCCAGGACATCTTGTTTGATGCATACAGCCATCTGGTGAAGAAGTTTATTCTGCACACTAATTTTCCTGGACATTACAACTTCAACATGTAAGCATATTGTCTGTGAAAAGTAGTGCTCAGTGTACACAAAGAAGAGTTCTGGATAGGAAACGAGACTTACATCTACATGCTTCTGGACATTGCTTGCCCTTCCACTTTTTCCAGTATATTTTTTCAGTTTAGATGCCTTACGAGCGTTGTTGCCTATTTTGTTAATTTCGTAGGTTTGTTTATTTTGTCGATGATATTTTGTTAATTTCGTAGGTTTGTTTATTTTGTCGATGATATTTTGATAAGTTCAAGTCCATTGACAAGTGCACTTGATTAGTCAAGAATTTAAAGTTAATTTTGAGTTTTTCTTATATTTTTTCCCGCACTGTCCCCTAATTGTCGTGAGGTCTGTTTTTTTTTTTTTTTTTTATTATAGGTATCAGCGCTGTGAATTTAAGGTTGGAATTCAGAGAGATTCCAAAGGTAACAGATTTCGTCAAAGACACAATATTTGCATCAAGTACTAATAAGAGTCTTTAATGGAAGTCAGGGGCGTAGCCAGGAGTTTTC